TTAAGCCCGAAGCCCTAGACGCTAAGCCCTCAGACAATAAACCCTCATCCCTCAAACCTACACCCTCACAATTTTAAAATGTGCATCAAAATTTTTCATTTCAGACCGAAAAAATCCCAAACCCTAGACATTAAGCCCTAAAACCTGAGCCCTTCGCCCTAAGCCCCTCGCCCTAAGCCCTTAAGTCGATAGAATATGGCTTTGGGTATATTACAATAGGATCCCCATATACCCCATATTCTATCTACTTAAGGGGGACTATAAGCCCTAAAACCCAAAACCCTAAAGCCAGCCTTGCAGCTTGAGCTGGCGAGGCCGGTACAAGAGGTTGGCGTACCTACATGCAAAAATAGAGGGTTTAGGGTTTAGGGCTTAGGGTTTAAGGCTTAGGGCTTAGGGCTTACGGTTTAGGGCTTAGGATTTAGGCTTCCCATTGAGAGGGGGTTGCAGGGATGTATCCCTCAGGGTCCGAGTACCTGAAAAGTACATCATTATGGCCCAACGTACCTATACAGGAACCCATTTAAACCTAAATTATCTGCTTTTTGAATACTTGGACCCTAAGGGCATTGTGTTTAGGGCCCAGGGCTGTAAGCAGAATCTCTAACACAGAGATATGGTAGTTTCCCTAAATAGGGGGACCCCAACATAGACCCCAAAATACTATAATCCTTATTCCTGGGACCCCCAAAAAGGTACCCCTAATTTTGGGAAATCCCCATATAAGGGGAAGATATAAGGCCCTAAACCCTAAGCCCTAAATCCTCAACCCTAAACCCTAAAGGGGATGGGGGTTCTTAAGATTCGGGCTTAAGGATGCGAGATAAATCTCTGGGGGCCAAAGAACCGTAGGATGCACCTTGAGAATTTACAAGTGAGGATTTAGAGGGTTTAGGGTTGAGGGTAAACCCCAAAAGAGCAATAATAGTGAATGTTTTGCACAAAGTTACTGTGTATTCAGTACTTGGAAGGGCAGGTAGAAGGTATACTTGTCACCCCTATAAGCCATAAAACAACGCCAGCTATCCCACAGCTCCCCCATTATAAACCCAAGTACGAAGCCCTAAACCCTAAACCTCACCCTCCGAGTTGGCTTTGAATGATGCTGTACAGGCACTAAACAGCCCTAAGCCCTGCACCCTTACTTCCCTTTGTCTGCCCTCCATCCTAAACCCTAAACCCTAGAATTATCATCCTAAACCCTACCTGAACCCCAAAACGATGTAAAATAATAGCCCAAAGCCCCTAAATATAACCCCAAAGGCCATTATTCTACGTACTTTAGGGGTTCGGGTAAACCTATAGTTTAGTGAGCCCAACGCTTTCGCGCTCCATGAAGTTAGGAGCTTTGCAGGTATACCAAGGTGTGGAGTGTCAAAGGTTTAGGCTCAAGGGTTTAGGGTTTAGGGTCTAGGGTTTAGGATTTAGGGGTTAGGGTTTAGGATTTAGGGGTTGGGGTTTAGGATTTAGGGGTTAAGGTTTAGGGTTTAGGATTTAGGGGTTGGGGTTTAGGGTTTAGGGGTTTAAGGTTAAGGGTTTAGGGTGCAGGATCTACCAGGATTGGCAATTGGCCCTTATCCGCCCCT